TCATCTACTAAGTTTCTGCTCCTCCTCAAGTTCTTGAGAGCTTTTTAGTGTGACTGCAGTAAACTGGCCGGTGGGTTAGCCTACAGTATCTAGCTTTGTTTGAAAAATAAATGGGTGGATGAGTGAGTTCACATACATTGAGTACATTGCTTTGATTCTCTTGACACCAGTAGCTTATCGTCATGCTCAAGATTCCAGTTCCCTATTAATGGAAGAGGACACTGCTATACACTGAATAGTATTTTAAAACAATAAACCTGCCTGCCACCTTGTTACCTGTGGAGAGCGTGGTCTCCGTAGTGTTCAGGCGGATAACACTGCAGAACACGGGAGGGAGGGAAATGCCGGGCTTTCCACATGCAGCTTCCTGTACTGTGGTGTGAGTTCTGCTGGTGTTTTTAAACTGTGAATCTTGTGAAATAGATACACTGAAAAGTCAGCTCTGTGGCTCTTGCTCCAGCTTGTCCTTTAAACTGAGGTGGCTGCTTGTTTCGGAAAGAACTTCTGTGGCAGAGCTCTGACATCCAACACTTGTTAGCTGCTGGCTGAACACTGTTCTCTCTCCCTGCAGGTGGTGCAGTTCAATCGCTTACCTTTGGTAGTAAGTTTCATTGCTAGCAGCAATGCCAATACTGGTACGTTTTCACAGGTATTTTAAATGTTGCAGTATTTTAAGGCCCAGGTATTTGAATAATTGAAAATAAATTACCTGAATTTACTTCAAGGTATATTAATTTTGCTCCTGCTATGAATTTTGTCAGTGTATTGTGAAGGGGAGAAGGGAAAGGTGAAAAATGGGTAAAAATTCATAGATTTTAGGTGATTTGCTGAAGTTGTTACTCTGTTAGAAGCCTGTTTCTTCTGTGATTAACCTTACCCTTGCTACAAGAGAGCGTTCACTGCACCGACAATGATCGTACCATACAAACCAGTTGTTCGGTCTCTGTCCATCAGTTCCAAGTTAGCGTTGGAACATGTGTGGCTTTGTCTTCTCAGTTCTGTGGGGTGGGGAATCCTTCAGCGGGGCACCTGGCCTTGCTCAGGAGGGTGGTGGCTGATGAGAGTGCGAGCAAAAGGGACTTAATCCTTGCGCAGCTGCTTGGGCCTCAGTAGCCATGGGAAGCAGCAAGGTGATAGTGGAGGCAAGCAGCAGCACGGGGGAGAGCTGTGCTGCACAGGGCGTGCCCCTGTTGGTGCAGGGGGCTGCAGGCCCTCTGCGGGAGGGGTGCTGCCCACTATTCCCTGGGGAATGAGCAGCTGGGGTGAAATGTTTCGTATTCTGGAAAACGCTGCCTGTGACTTGGGAGGGGAGGGAGCTGTGGGGACTGGAGGAGAGAGGCTTCTCGATTATGTTGTTTGATGGGATGTTCTGTCTCTTCTCTCTTTCCAGGGCTGATTGTAAGTTTAGAGAAGGAGCTCACGCCCCTGTTCGAAGAACTGAGGCAGGTTGTTGAAGTTTCGTAACCTGATGGTGTAGCCAGAGTGCAGCATCCCTCTGCAGCCCAGTGGACAGAAAGATTCAATAATCCTCAGTCAAATAACACGTCTCGGAAGAAATACCACAGCTCCTTAGTATACTAAGTAAGAGTAAATTGTACATAGTACTGAATCTGAAATGATCTACTAGTGTGTTGTAGATGGATGTTACTTTAGGCCATGCTTCTTGTATTGTGCAGTACTGGAGAGACCACCAAAATAGCTCCCATGGAGTTTAGCTCAGCCAGCTGAGCCAGATCGGCATGATGCTGTTGGCTCAAATGAGCGACCCACAGATCTCTTGCTTTACAGGCAACCGGGCACGCAGTGGGGCTTGTCATCCGGCCGGCTACCACGACGTGTCGGAAAGCAGATCGGCTGTACAGTGTTATCAAAGATGTGGTTGAAAGCGTGTTGTGAGAGCAAGTTTGCTAGCAGTGATGTGTCAGTACAATCAATAAATATCCCAGCTTTTCTTACGTGGGTGATAGTTTGGCAAGGGAACACTAGTACTCTGGATGCTAGCTGCGTCCTGCTTCCACTTAAGAAGAAAGCTATTTCTATGAAAGCTGTTGCTTTAGGGGTTTTCCTGATGCCTGGATAAAAGCACCCGAACAATGTCTCACTTCTTCATTGGGTTTTTGTGTAACATGGTTGTGAAGATCTCATGTCTCATCGTCTCTGTGTGGGTTCATCACCGGTGACACTCTCAGCTCATACACCCTTAGGTTTTCCTAAGTAAATAAATATAAATAAAAGACAGTATTTTTAAATGACAGAGCCTGGTCCACTCTTCTGTTGCACCGTAATACTCCACAGCACATCAGTTTTTCTGTGGAGAGAACAGGTCTCTTAATTATTTGTAAATGTACAAAATCTGGGAGTTTAAAGGCTGAAAACTAACCAGTGTGTGTCTCAGTGGGGTGATAAGTATGCAGAATCCCATGCCAATGCAGAGATGCAGAAGTTAGTGCCGACCCGCTTCCTCTTCCTCTTTGTGCCGCCGTTCCTGCCTGTATTCCTCTTGTGAGGACTGCAGTGTAGGCTTCCAGCGCTAAAGCCGAGCACCGCTGGTCTAAGGGAGAGCTCTTGGCAGGTCACTGCCTCAGGCTGGGAAGGGGGGGGCCTCCGCCCCCTCATTTATACCTCACCCACCTTCAGCATCAGGCAGGATGGGAATGGTGGTGCTGGAAATAAGGACTGGGAATTTTTGGCTCAAAAGTTCTATCAGAGATTAAAAGTTGTCAGTCAACCCTTTTCCGTTTAAACTGAGCTCCTGGCTTGAGCTTTCTGTTGCTGGTCATTACAGAAGCAGCTGGAAACTGAGCCCCAAGGTGTATTTATACCTCACCCACCTTCAGCATCAGGCAGGATGGGAATGGTGGTGCTGGAAATAAGGACTGGGAATTTTTGGCTCAAAAGTTCTATCAGAGATTAAAAGTTGTCAGTCAACCCTTTTCCGTTTAAACTGAGCTCCTGGCTTGAGCTTTCTGTTGCTGGTCATTACAGAAGCAGCTGGAAACTGAGCCCCAAGGTGTCTCTGTGTGTATTTCTGGCAAAAAGCACTCGTGTTCCATCGGAGGCCTACTCTTGCTGTTTGCTTCCGTTCGACTTGTTTGTCTGTGACTCTGCTTCCTAGGCCAGAACTAAGCGCTGTTTCTTTTACTGGCTTCAGGACATGGCACCATGTGCTGAACTTGCTTCTAACATTTTGTAACGCTGCCTGTTCATGTGAAAAAGGGAAGGCTGCTTTTGTGGTTACACTTCAAGCTTCATTTCCAAACTCTTCACAGAACATTGATGCTGTTGGAGAATACCATCTCCCCCTTACGCTGCCTCTCTCTCACACAAACCCATCAAAGCTTTTTAACTAAATGGGAGATGCCAGTTTGTTAAACCACTTCTCTAAGGGAAAAAGGAGAACAAAGCTTTAACAATACAGTACAGGAATACAGGCGACCTTTGGGTTTTATAATGACATTTTATTCAGAAAATGGTCTGTATAAAACTATTTACAAGTATTTTGAATTTCTAAGTTGAAATAAAATGCTATTCCTACATCCACATCTAGATTTTCTTTCTTCTTCCAGTATGTTTTTCCCTTCTTCAGTCTTCTCACAGTAAAGGCATCTATTGAACGCTGGTCTGCTGCGTGAGCAATACTAAGCCCCAGGCCACGGCATTTGCATAGTGGGAGACGTTTGCATGCACCAAACCTGACCTTTTTGCGGGGAGGCAGGGTCCCCCCTCTTTCCCCACCCCTCCAGGAGGAGCAGGGTTGCACAGCGGGTCTTGCAGCTGGGTCAGCTGTGAGGTCAGGCCAAGCTGGTCTTGGGACCCTCCTGGGACAGAGCGTGTCAAACTTTGCTTCCAAAACGTAACATCTATTTTGACAAGAGCACCGAGTACCAGGCTTCCACTTCTCAACTCTGTAGCGAGCCACAACGCTGTTAAATGTGTATGAGTCTTCCAAAATATAGATGGAAGTTTACATCAGGTTATGTAGAAGATGTATTATTTTAAATTTGTGTTTTTAGTGTACGTGGTGCCTTTTGTTTAATAAAAAGTAAGCAGTGCTTAATTCTAAACAGAGTTCTGGACAGAGCCTCATTTTGAGCTCTCTGCATGAGGAAAAAATAGAAAATCCAGCCCATTTTCAAGGGGGACTGTAAGGGGCCCAACTCAATGCTACTAACAACGCTGGTGGCTGCCACAGGCAAAGCTTTCTGCAGAGCCCCGTCACCCATCCCTAGGGTCCCAAGGCAGCTCTCTCCTATGTGCGCTGGGAACCAGCTGCCTGTTTCTCCTCATCGTAGTTTGTCAACAAGTGTGCTGACATGATGCTGCTCACCGTTACCTACAGATGCTGTCTGAAACAAATGTGCACTTGTAGCCATCGCTGCGGTATAAATCTAAACCATACAAAACCATACTTGGCCAGAACTAAGTGTTACTTATCTGTCACCTTGAAAAGGGCCTTGAAATATTCTCTGGATTCTAATATAGATACTATTTACAATTACAAAATGTAATTACTTCTGTCATTTTTCTTTTGGTTTAGAGCCTGAACAGGTAATACAGAAGAAATTAATGTTTCCAGAAAGGACTGGTTTTAAATAACAGGCTCAAGGTTACAGAATATGCTGCTAATGATTAGTTTGTGATGGAGCTTGCAATAAATTATCAAGAGTGCTCTGAATAACCACAAAAGTTTTACACAGTGATTACTTCTGTGATTAGTTAACAGCTGTTTGAATTAAGTGCATTACAGGCATACACCATGCGTATCAAACCAACACTCTGATTTTGCAAGTGTCTCCACACGTGACTCAACAGCCCGAGAGCACTCAGCTGTACGAATCCTTTGTGTGCGGAGCCAGATGCAAGCGTCTGTGTGTGGGTATACACACACGCGCGTGCCCACTGCGAGTAATGGAGACTTGTGAAACCGTCCTCTTGTAAGCGATGCTTTCCCCTCGACAGAGGTAATTCCTGCCAATGGAGCAGAAGTATTGGAGGTGCAGCTAGGAACTGAGGGTGGCATTACGCTGCTCCAGTTGCTTCCGTATTTGTGACTAGAACAGAAAGACAATCCATTACTGTTTGTCTGCATGCACATGGATGTCGGTGAGTATGACCAACCCAAATATTGACATTTTTAAGGAAGTAATGCTTTCAAGCCTTTATTTTGTCTTCTCATTGCTTCCTTCATGACCCAACACATGCGGTCTGTGCTGATGCTCTACACTGTTTACCATGCAGACAATGACATCCTTAAAGACGGAAGTGATTTCCTCTTCCTAATGAGTATGTATGTTAAAAGCGCACCCTGAAAACACTAAAGTGGGTTTGCAGGCATATACATTATGCGAAGACTAGGTATGCCGGTCTCGTTGGCCTGGACGCCAGAACAAGTACTCCCTTCTTCCAGATACTGAGAACTGTAGCGCTTGGGCGCTACAGTATTTGGGGGGGTTCATGACGGCAGTACCAAGGGTGCTGCTGCCTGAGGCGTACTGCCATGTAACACTGTACATCGTCTTACCAGTTTCCATCGCAGTATTTTAATCCATTCATCAGCTTCTATTCCAGTTCTCGCGCACAGGTAGTATGTCCTTAGTGGGAACACTAAACTGTAAGTAAACAATTAAAACTATTTCTTAAATTGCTAGAACAACTAGTAGTTCTTCCTAAAACTGAACCCAGCTGGCCTGCGCCAACAGTTGTTTAGACAGAGCAGGGCAGGGAGGCCATGCTCCTGTTCAGTCACCTGGAGGGAGGTTAGCCAAGAATGGTTTACAGTCGTTTACAGCTCCGGGAGACGCGGCCCCAGGCCATAAGGACAAAAGACCCACATTTGGGCACAGAAGCAGTTACTGTGTGACCTGTAGCAATGTCTGAACTGGGAGCTGGACTGTACCTAAGTTCCATGGGTCTAGGTGATGATTATACATGCTTACTGAATTAGGAAAAGAAATGCCCCCTACACATAGGCCTACACCTTCCTCTTCATCAAGAAAAAAAACTTTTGCTAGTGGTAATTTGGCAAAGCCATGCAGGTGCAGGACTGACAGAAACAGACTCCTGAGTTAGAGGAAGAGCAGCGTCACAACCAGCAAGGGAGCTTTCAGAAACACCCTGTGGTTACATTTCAAACTTCCCTGGCTATTCTGACCTTCCCAACAAGGCGGAGAAGTACAGCAACTTACCAGAAACAATTGACTCTTTCCTGGGAATAGTCAAATTGTACAGCTGAGCATTCAGTTAAGTCAAGTGCCCGAATCGGTTCTGTGGCCTTGAAAATAAAATGGTTTTAAAATGGGAACACATGAAAACAGAAGATAAGGCTAGCTCAGTTCATCTTCAGTGCATCTAGACCTTCACAGTCACACTAGGTTTTTCCAGGCATAGGTACAATACCTGTAACACCATAAACCTGAACTAGCAAATGTAACATCAGAGCTAACATGATATGGATTGAGCTAAACATAAAAAAACCAGGACAGTCAGTTCAGATCTAGATAAACAACAGAGGAGATCTCTACTGCAGGAAAGTCTGAGCTAGATGCAGACTGCTGAGGGTTTGGCTGATGCATTATAATGTAACTGACACAGCAGCAAATCTGGCATCACTTCCAACTAAGGTTTCCAAAGACAAGGGAATGGTTATAGGTTTTATCAGGCCTAGCCAGCTGTTGGACATTTAATTAATTCCCAAGTGCTTTAAAAGGATGAAGTCAGGCAGGGAGAAATACAGAAGCAAAGCTAAAGCAGTGCTTGCAGCAGTAGTGATGGGTCTGGCTGTATGAGCAGTGTTGTGTACATCTTAAGTTTCCTGAGCCAGGCCCAGGAGTACTCAGGTGCAAGGATGTAGACTGTCTGTGCGTAACTGCAACCCATCTCCCTTAAGAGTTTCATTCTCCCTAGGAGTGAGAGTTCTTTGATTCGTTTCAGCCTCTGCTCAAACACCCTTAGGTGTTCCCGTGGTCCTTCATCACATGTACCGAGGTGTCTGTTCCTTTCTCACCTTTCCTTACATTTTCCTCCGGCTCAATGACTGTTATACACTACACTAGAAGAAAGCCACTTGTGCTGAGGTGTGCTGGCAAATGCCATCTCGGGGGCAGCAGCAAGTTGCTCACCTGTAGGCACCTGCAACCCCGCAGCAACAACAGGAGTACCAGGAGACACCGGAGCTGCTGCCCGGGAGGAGGCCGTGTTCCTGACAAAGACACCTTCTCACCTGGTAAGTCACAAACGCTACTCAAATGTTTGGAGTGCTGCCCTTTGAAAAGTTATCCTGGAAACTTAATTCACCTTGGCTTGAACTGAAATGAAAACTGACGGAAGGCCCTGTGAATACACAACTGTTTATAAATGGTACTGTTTGGTGAGAGAGAGCAGTTGTGTCCGCTGTTGTTTTAAAATCTGTTAGATGCTTGAAATAGGGCTTGGCAGAGGTGCAGAGGTAAACAGTTTGGCTGTGTTTATGAAGGAACCCTAACTGGAGGTATTGTAAGGGTGGAGAAACTCTAGAGGTATTTCCTATTTTTACTCAGTTTAAGGTAGAAATGGCACTGCAACTGTAAGGATGCACAGTTTTTCCCAGATGTAGCAGGCTAATATATGTCAGAGTGCTATGAAGGAACACATTTTTAAGTGAATGGTTTTCTATGTATACTGTGTGAGCACTTGATATAAAAGGATGAAATCAAGGAATGCAAAATACACTACTAGTATTTGCAGAAATATTTTAATAGCACCACTGTCTGTTAGGTTGCGTGTCAAAGCTACTGATAAAAGCTGTGTGGTGCTGGTAGCTTAAAATCCACTGAACAAAGCAACCAAAAATGCACTGTAAACAAGTCTATCTAGTAGGTAAGACTGACAGAGCATAGTAAGTGTTTTCCAGCTGTAAAACTTACTTTCTCTTGTTGATGTCATCAGCAAAACTCTGAGTTTATTTGAAAGGTCTGACCCCTCTGACAGTATGGGAAGCTTTAGCTTGGGAAGCTGTGATACAGACGCGAGAGAAGCCAGAGGTATGAGCAGGCTGCAGCTGTCTCTGTAGAGATTTTAAAAAGTAGAACTGGTGTTTGCTACTTACTGTCTGGTCTTTGAAATACTTAAGTTCATTCCTATGAAGCGTAAACCACCTTGTCTTCCAATTCTGAAAGATCAAGAACAGATGGTAATTGCCTTGTGAGAATTTAGTGTAATGCTTCTTAGGAAAGACAAACCTTTAAAGCTGTTGACTTCCTCTGGTTTACAGTCATGCTTTGTTGTTGCTCAAAACACAAATTGTTCCTCTCTGCAGGGGAATGCAGGTGGAGCTACTTCAGCTCCGCACTGTCTCTAGCTTCTGTGGGTGTTGCAGAGTGGAAGCAAGGAGTAAGTTTTCCTTACCTTGACTATTTTGCCTTGTTTTATCAAATAGCCTTCTTTTGTGCCAAGCTGTGAAGTAACAAGGAAAGGGATTGGGGTTAGAGACTGAGCTCTGCTTGTATTTCCCACATCCCCCTCTTTGCCTACATCCAGAAGATGAAAGAGCAGCCTGTTCTTGGGGAAACTTCCCATGGCCATTTGCCCTGTCCTCATTCCTGCGCTCGCCTCACACGGCTGGATCCACCACTAAGGAAAACATGGACCTGCACTGGCCCTAAAGGCAGTCTCTTGGACCATGCTTCCCTCAGCAAGCTTCTGGCCTGCATCTCCTCAACCAAATGCAGCAAAATAGTTGCAGTTACAGTTTATTTAGTAAAGTTAGATGGTTGCCTCAGTATGTGCTGTAACCAGAAGCACCTGGGGTTTAGCTGACAGTGGAATTATCCACAGAAATTGCTCCTGAAATGCAAGCAGGGGGAAAGTGCTGTTTTACTTAGGCATTCTCTTCTCTCAAACAGCTACATGCTTGAGAGGAACAACCTGTTACATTCAATGTGCTTACTGAAAAACTGTTTTTTGAACCATTTCTCTGCCACCATGAGTGATGCTGAGACCTTTTGACTTACATACTGAAACTCTGTGTAGGGACCTAGTTGTGAGACTGCAGACCTCTGAAAACCAAATTCTTGACAAGTTAATTACTACTTGCTCTTGAAAAAATATTGCCTTTTTATTGGTTGTATGTGGAAGTCAAGTTTCTTTGGAGGTTAAGGTGGAACTCAGCCATGAAGGGTTGCCTGTGAGACACTTCTTTTATCAATGTCATTAATCCGTATTAATGTACCTCTTCCTGTTTTTCTCAAAAAAATATAGGATGTAGTTAAAATACTTTCCTCTCTGTTCTGAGCAATACTGTTCTGGAGAAAACACCTGTCTCACTTAGATATGAGCTACTAGGGATTTCAAGTCTCTAATTACTGTCCAAGTGAGCCACAGATGTCAGAGCAGGTGGCTCAAATGGATATGAAGATGTTCTCTTGTTTCTCACACCAGTAAGGCATAGCTTTTAACATGACACAGCTTTTTACTGTGCTCAAAATTACTAGGGCTGAAAGGGTGGAGGCTCTTCTTCATCTCTCTCTATTTGGGGTTTAAGTCTGTGTCAGAATACAGCAAACTGTCTTCCTGCTTTAAGACAAGGTGATTCTAAAATAATAAAATCCAAGTGTGAAAATGCCAAAACCCCCTTTTGAGTAATGTACCTATTAGGATATGGATACTCTCGTTAACTTGGTTGTACCGTGCTTCAGTTTGGGGTTTCCTTTTCCAAATGTGTCCCTGCCTGTCTTGCAGGGATCTTTGAAGTTTTTTTTTTTTTTTTTAAAGGGTCACTTTTTGACTGACCTAGAACATCAGAGATGCTCCTTCCTTCCTCCCAGTTAGGAAGGAGGCTGTCTATTGCTAACTGGGCAAAATAATTCTAACAAAGAAAGAAGACAAATATAATAAGTGGTACTGAGTTTGTGTCTGTCAGGACTACTATCTGTTTTGGGTCATCTAATCTTCATACTCAATGAGACAAAATGTGGTAAATCCTGTAGCTGTTACTTGGGTTTGCTATTTAGTGTATTCCTCTCCTCACCTGTGGAGGGGAGAGACTTCCCACCAGCTGTAAAGGATGTTTGGCAAAACAAGGGCTTACTATGCAACCTGACATATGTATTGTTGCTTACCGGCTGATGAGTGTTGCCAGAAAGATGTGAGAAGTGTTGTGTTTGTTTTGTGCGGTGTGTTTTGTTTGGGTTGTTTTCCTAAAATCTTGACAATGTTACTGCTAAGATGGCATTCAAAAAGGAAGATAACAGGAGAATGAAAACCTCTCATATATTCTTTGTTTGGATAGTTAGAATCACCTAGGTCAGCTGCAGACAATGTCTTCCCAGTGACAGCACTGAAGGTCTCAGTGACAACAATTGTAAAAGGCTTTATTTGTCATGGGACTGTACTTAGCAAGTCTGTGTTTGTTTTGCCTTGGTCGGCAAAGACTTCCTGTAGTTATGAACCCATAAAGGGATGAATTACTGGTGTTATTCCATAGCTCACTCCAGCAATCATACTAAACTCAGGCCAGGAGAAGCACCCCTCCCACCAGAACACATCTTACTGAGGGAGCATTTGGAACAAGATCGCTTTCTGTCCTTCCCGTCTGCATCGCCGTGTGAACTCGGACAGACTCATAAATGGAAGGTTCTTCCACTTTCCGTGGGTAGGGATGTTTCAATACAATTAAGGTTCCTGGAGAGAAAAAGAGTGGGAGTAAGTCACCTGGCAAAAGTGTATTAGAAAATAACCGGTAGTAGCTGCCTGTTTGTGGAACGGTTAACTTTACCTTTTCCTAAAATTAAAAAGGCGTTAAGAGCTAATAACCTCTGCAAGATTTCTGTGACAGTCCCTGTAAGGGGTTTTCCTTAGAAGGCAGCAGGACTCAGGCCACACCCATGTGAGAAAAAAAATCAGATGCTATAAATGACTCTCCATATTGATAAAACTAGACAAACATTTCTAACATGCATCATCTGAATAGTTTAGACTTTATGAAGGGTTTTTTCTACAAAAATCCACCCATGCAAATTACAGAGGGGCACTTGCTGCTGGATTTGCTTGCCCAGTCTCACTTCCTTGACTGTTGTGTTGTTCAGAGTCCTCAATACCTTGGGCACCTGGACCTTGCCTAAATCCATTCCCTCATCCCTGGACAGCAGGAGTCAATTTGTTCTTGCATCTCTGAAAACGAGTGAAAACCCTCTTCGCTTCTTCTAAGCAGTAGGTAATTAAACCCCTTCTGCAATGTATGGTGGCAAAAAGTCAAGACAGCAACAGAACAAGACTGTCAGACAACCCTCAAAGGCAGGTGTCTCCTGTCCTGCTTGAACCTTCTTTCCAGTCAGGGAGTGACTAGGTAATACAGAACAAACTGAAACACAGATTTCATAGCTACAGCTGAAATGCTGACCTACATGTGACCTACACTTTCATTGCATTCATGAAGATGTGACTACAGACATTATCGTGCCTGTTTACATGCAACTGTGAAAACTGTAAATATATGGTACCTTTTTAAAACCTTTAAACTTACTAGTGCTTGCAGGGAATCACTTGACATTAAATTCCCTTCCGGCACAGGAGGCTGGCTGGGCGGGTAGGCAGGATGCTAGAATAGATATGAGGTTGTAACAGGCATCCTGGTTTTGCCAACAACCCACTGCTTGCTGCATAAATCACTTAATCTGTCAGGGCTTTGGATACAGACTTCCTAACAGTAAGCCCACATTACCATTGCCCTTATCTGTTTTACCATTGCTCTTACCAGTTAGTAACATTTTGATTATAGCCATTCTTTGTTCTCCAAATAAGGTCATGTTTATTGCACATTCTCTGCAAAAAGCTGCGTTCTCAATAGCGAATCTATTACACCATTCACAATAGTGAAGAACCTCCTTAAAACAGTAACTGCTACACCATCTCATCTCAGTTTTTAAAAATAATGTCACAGCATACCAAATGCTGCTCCACTTGCATTTTATGCAGATATTGTCAGCTCTTAAAGAGGAGGGATGCTAGAACTGGTGAGAACTTGGACTTGAAACATACAGGTGATTCAGTAATTTAGAAGTGAAATAAAGTATATTTTGTAATGGGAAAGGCTACAAAGGGAAGTGGAAAAATTGTATTTGAAGTAACCAACTGAAATCTGTTCGCAGGCACAGGGGGTGTATGCAAATGTGATACATTCAACTTGCAGTAGGTGAAAAGTCAAAATCGGTTTAATTCTCTCTGGCCTTACAGAAAAATAATGATTTATCATTTAAAATGAAATTGAGAACACACCCATCACCAGCCTACAGAAACTACTCTTAAGCTGTTGCATAGAGACAGAGTGCCATCATCTCTACACCATGGATAAAGATCCCTGTTGCAGAACTCGGAGGACTAGTTTAACATTTTATACAGTATTTCTTTTCTAGCAAGTTCTCCATGTTTTTTCTCCACAAAAAATACTTGTACGGAATCATCTGGTAACTGTACAAAAGAACTAGTAAAAGCTGCACTGTAGCAAGATTCTTTTTGCTTGTTTGTGCACGATATCTATTTCTAAGGAGGAATGAAAATTAGTCCCATTGTTGGAAACATTAGCTTCAAGTGACTTGGGCTTTTTTGTCTGGGTAACGACTTAAAAGTTTTTATATGTTTTCAAAATAATTTAGGTAAAAACTGATAAACAGAGCAAACAGGTAAGGATAACATGTTGAACTTGTCACTTTGAATAAAGATAAAAATATAGAAATACGATAGTATATTGCTTTAACCTTGTTACCAAATAGATTCAGCTTGCCCATTTAATAAACCATTTCATCAAACACAGTAGCCCCAATTTCCTTTTAATTATCTGAACTACAGTTCAGAAGGAAGTGTACGCATTACACTGCAGAAAAATAGATGTGAGTCCATGTAGCACTTTGGATCGGCAAATGACGCTGTAGTAAGACAAGGTAAGGTTTGTTGGACTTGAAGCACAAACCTGCAGCTGTCCCAGTACAAAAGAACCACTGCGCTTCATGGACCAATTTGCAGGGGTGCAGGCCTGTGTGTTCAAGTACTGATCAAAAAGAGTCTGGTGTGCCTCTTCAGACACAAAACTAGCTCCAGTGATACAAACTTAAATGGAAGATAGAATATGTAATGGTTTCCACTATCTCGTGGGTCTCTGTCTTATAAAATCCTGTCCATAAGCAAGGAGGAGATGAAAAATGCTATCTTGCCTTACTCTCTTGTTTCTGATCTCACAGTGTTTCTATAGAAAATTGTTTGTAAGTATAACAAGGAGTAAGAAAAACTGGTCCAACTACTTTCTACTAATGCCTGAGCTAAAGGTCACTTGCTGCTTTTCACTGAAAGGAAATGTGGCCTAAGAAATCAGACTCTGTAGCCGGCCCTTCTGCCAACCTGCTGTGAGACCCCGTGTTAAGCCAGTCATTCTGCCATGCTGACACCTGGCTTAGAACGGGCCCTCAGCCCCTACCCCCTTTTTGGTATAAATCAGTTACCACCCAGGAGACCTTTGACACCTCTATCTGAAGGAACATTGCCTGACCGCTCTCTCTTCCTCTCTACTGCTATCCATGGTAAGGTAAGGTCGAAGGTTTCTTGATGTGATGTTCAAATGGCTTTTCTTATTCTGTAGCACATCCAACTTAGAGTGTTTCACAGAGCCAGCAGAATCTGATTAGGGAGCTTTAAGGTGACAAGTGAGCCCATCATTCAGCAGTGTTGATCCTGTCTGTGGAGATCACATAACACCAGTGCCTTGATTACTAATGTCTGTAACACGTGCAGTGAAGGAATGGGGAAATACCAGTTTTATATGTCATCTGAAATCTTTACAGCGTTAGGCCTGTGGGCGCATGCCTGATTTCACAGGAAAAATAGCTTACTGTTACAAAAGTTATATGCAGGAACTGTGTTCAAACCAGTCTTAAAAGCAATTTAAAAACAGAATGCTTTGAAAGATACAAGTGCCATATTGAGTGTACCACTACATTTTTCTTGGGGAAAAATAATTTGCAAAGCAACCCTTGAATTTAATGTCAAAAGAGCACTGGTGCATATTTAGTGTGTGACATATTACAGTTATTGCATGTGCCAACGATCATTTAACTGGTCCCTTGCATATATAATTAGCACTACTCTGAATTATTTGCATACACTTTCTACACAGGATACTGAAGTTTTTGGCACTAACTTGTACTGACACATCTTCAACGCTTAGATTTGAAACTAAACCTAAAACTGGCATTATCATGATAATATGCATCTGTTTGTCCAGGGATTCTGGTCTGGTGGTGGTCAACTTGTAGAAATCAAGTTTAATCTTCTGACTCTTAATTCAGGCAGCATGTTGGCTGCTAAGGAAGCCTATGCTTTTTCTCTCTCTTTTTCTTAGAAAACAAGACAAATCACTACGGTGGCAGATGGCATCAGCAGGCTGATCCACTGTAGACAGAAAGGGAGAGGTAATACAGGCCACATTCCCTACAGGAAAGAGGAACATACCACTGTAGACTTCTTGCTTGGATGAAGAATAGTGGAGCTAAACAATTTCAAGCCCCTTTTCCATTTATTCTTATTGGGGGATTTCAACTTCATAGACGAACATTTATTTCCTCACTGAACACCCTACTTTGGTTTTGCCCTTTTTTGAGAAGGTTCTGTTCCTCCCAGTACATATGTATTTTGAAATGCTTCCTTCTCTCTATGAAAAATCAAAAGGAGCTCATGTCCCTGGTTAGCAAAAACCCAGTAAGCTTCCATGTAGTTTGTCTTCAGAGTACATGAAAGAGTTTTTGAAGAGGAACATCTTAAGATACCTGAGGTTAATACAAACATGAATTTCTGAAGAGGAACGCTTCAGCGGTATATCTATTTGATAATGCATTGGAAGCTCCTTTTAGTTAGATCTGTGTGAAGTATGACTACAAACGTGTTCATGCAAACACATGGCTCTCCTTACCTGTTTCGCTTCCAATTAAAGGCTGATTTGCAAAATGCATGACTAATTCCTTCAAGCTAGAAAATTCATTAAATCCAAATTTGAATGAAGTTCCTGTATGTTCAATATGGAAGTGTTTCACAGAATCTTTTCCCCTAAAATAAAAAAAGAAAATTTGTCAAGGCATAAATGCCAAAGGCATTTGGCATATACAACCCTTAAATAGCAGCTTCCACTACAGGAAACTTAGCCCAGATCACAGGCTGACAATCACTGTCCTAGCAGTAATACTACTGCCATTACTGCCCCTCACTAATACTCAACACATGTGAGACTCAGATTTATTAAGAAAAATCTAATTGCTGCTTTACAGGTATGAGATGATGAAAGCCTAGAAAGGCCAAGTAAGTTAAACTAACTCTTGCAGCAATCAGTAAAATGACACACAAACGAGGTTTCCAGCCTTCTGTCTAAGGAGGATGATATCCCTTCACTTACCAGGCTTTAGTCTTGATGGTGTACCTATATTACTCAGTACATGTCTTACTTTTTAGGTAACATCCCAATCTCACTGAAAATGTCTTCTGTTTCTCTTTCAAAAATAGGCTGCCTCCTTTTTACACCCAGAGATTTAATAACCTAACTTTAGATACCTAAGGCTTTAGAATTTGTCTGCTTTGTCTCTGTTCTCAGACGAACGGCTCCTCGATGGTGGGCACTGTCAAACATGAACCAGGGTCCTTTGTCTGTTGAGGAAGTAACAGTGTTTGTTTATGAAAGCTGATGGTATTTAGAGAAGTGTGCAAGGCCTCACTTCCTGGATGCATAATTATTTTGTCTTCAGAAGACACTGAAGCACTTACTGCAAGTATCTCTCCTGTGAAAAAATTACTTCTGTTAATGTTACTAGCATCCAAAGTAGTCCTGAGAAAACTTTATGTCAGGAAAAATGTATGTAGCAAATACACTGAAAGTATGGTGAAGAAAGGGATTTATAGTGTCTTTTCCATTGTTTATTGCCGCTTCCGCAGGAGATTATAACTTCAAACTGGTATTTAAACAAATATTTATCTTTGAACAGCACTTGTGATATTGTAGAACATACAGAAGAAGGTAGTGACCTTCCGCATGTTTTGCACTACAGTCAGCTGAGACACAGTGCGTGCAAGCAAAGTGCAGATGCCCCACAACAGCAAATAGCTGCTGTGACTCCGCTGCAATGACAGGGTTTTCATCTTTTCATTTAATTTCACAAGAAATATAATGTTGCAATGAGAGCAACTTCTACTCTATTTCCTAGTTCCTTTTTAAAGTTGGCTAATTTAGCTGGGGGAGGGGATTTCAGGCAATATGTGATCTCTCTTCTTATAGCTATCACTAAAAACCTCAAGGGATGTCTAAGTATTGTTTCCTTTTAAAACAAACTAAAATAATGACTGAAGTTCCTTGTGAGGCAGAAAGTAAAGTAAAAGCTATAGAAGACATTTTAGGAGAGAAAGAAAATGACAGCTAGAATTGCTAAAGTTATCCTTTCTACAAAAATGTATTAGAACAAAACTGAATTACTTATTTTAGAATGAAGTTTTAATGTTAGTCAAAAAATGGAAAGGAAAACTTAAACAACAGTAGAAAATTATTAAAACATTTTAAAATCAAAATCAGTCAAGGGTGCTGTACCACCAAAAAACTAATGTAACACAATAAAAGATCAAACTCCAGACTGGGATATTCAGTTCATATGGTAATGCAGTAAGTAACTCTTGTTTCTACATAGAGAGCTGAACAGGAGATTGGAGTTGGCCTGAAGTAGACTTTTCTAGGTCTTCTAAGGCTAGAATATGTTAAAGCAGCAAATTTATTTTCATTAGGTAACACTTCAGCTTTCGTTTCTGATTAAAACAACAACTATTTAAATTTTATTTTATTACAGTAAGTTGTTTCCTAAGTGCCCTTTAAAACTAGCTTCAAGATATATTTTTTTTTTTTTTTAAATTGTCTGAGGTAGATTACCTCAAATAATGTTTAGTTACATTTTAAAGTAAAAAAAAATTAACCAGCAAGACAATGATTCATTTAAAATTACTTTAAGGAAAGCTATTACTTATAAATGCTACTATTCTTTTTGCCAAGACTTGCACTCAATTCAGTCATTGTTACTCTGAATACTCACTTTGTAACATGACCTTCAGATCTGTCGGGCACCCCCCAAGCTCCTTGTATAAATGGCTGTCTATAGTGGTAATAATTTCAGCAGCGTATGTATAGGCCCACTTGCTCCTGGGTCTTCTGTCAGAGATGAGTGAAGCAATTCATATTTGCCTTTTATACCTCTGGGGAACAGGGTATGTGCAAATTGCACTTTCCTCAGTTTCCAGGTGACTACACTTCCAAATTATAACATCTCCTGGTACTGAATACGCAGAAAGTCACAGTTTCAAGGACATATGCTGTCTTCCTATCTATTAGGGTTGTGAATAACTAGCATCATTCTACTGATCAAAGTGACTTTAGCTTCAAGAGTTACTGTGATCCAGCTGAGCTGTGGTCACTAATTGTTCAAAGGCTTAGTTTGAGGCAGAAGTGAGCTTGAATGCACTAGCTTAAAATTTCACTGTAGAGGCTTAATATACAGTTGCCAAAGGCTAAGAACATATTTAGGGTTGGTCACCTCCACTCAGCTGACATGCAGGGACTACCTTGTGTGTCTAATGCATAAGTCTTTCATGTTGCCTCTCTAAAATATTGTGGCTTCACTCCTTCTTAGAAGACTCTTTAAATGTGATTCAGTAGTGAAGTACCCAGGCCAGGCTACCTGTGCTCTGTATCAGCTATGTCCTGAACTGACGTAAATTGCTGTAATTGACTTCAAGGGCCTGATGTCTGCCACTTGCAAAATACTGGTCAAATCAGTCATGCATTACTGGCTAAGGCTAAGTCTTAGCCCAGAACAGAGGAGTAAAACCATCCAGTCAAACACTGGATCATCCCCCAGAGATGATGGTTCCTATACAGTGATCCAGAAACTGGTGAAGTTAGCACCTATTAACTGGTGTATTTACTACTATCCTCATCATGAAACTTTTCTACTCGAATCAGATGTTTCTTAAACTCTTGTAACTGCCATACAGATTTTTATCATGCAGACTGAAAATCTACAGCCAATCCATGGAATGATGTTTTTCGCCAATAAGATTAATTCATAGTTTGGAAAAATGAGAGCAATTTTCAAATCCAATCCAATTTTTTTTTTCCTTCTAACAAAATGTCATTCATCAGGACTACACCATTAGGAATATATATTAAAATAGTTTGAACCCTAAGAAAAAATCTGCAGGTCATCTCAATGCATGAGACATGCAAACAAACATGGGAGTAAGTGAAGATTTTAAAACTGCTAGCTGTGCAGCATTAGATAAATTCACTTCTGTCCATACTCTACCTTACAGAGAGGGAGTACAAATCTTCCCTTTCATTACTCTTCCTCAAGAGATAGCTTCCATCCTGCCCATTGGAAAGCAGCAGTGCTTCTGCTGCATGTCGGGTAAGATTATCATGATACCACCTGGGAAGACACAAGGGGTTAAAGCATCATTCGCTCAGCTCTTAACTGACAGCTTCTGCTGTGTTATGGAGCTGAGTTAGAGAAAGAGAAAGGACTGCAACTAACGCTGCTACAATTTTGAGTTACCATCCTTCTCACAGGCACACACCGGTTACAGAGAACTGTGCCCCTTTCAGCAGCCTCCTTTCAACATGCTCAGAAAACTATTTATTTTTTGTACAACACAACTACAAAGTTGTGTACAAGCAGCTGACAGTTTGCTGAATCTAAAAAACCCTGCAAATTCTACTTGCATGAACAACAAATTACCCAGGTCTATGCTGACAAGGTGAAAGCGATTTTGGGGGGGTATGCAGGATCCTTTGTCTATTTTCAGAATCTGTACTTCCTGACGTATCTACACGCTTTGGTACACTTCCTCTTTTGGGTCAAAGAGGCAACACTTAAACTCCTCCCAAACTGTATTTCCCGCAACTTACATTCATCTGCACTGCTAAGATCTACAATTGAACACATTTGCTTAAAAGCTTAAAGTTTTCATTTGAAGCATAACCTTTTTGGAAGAAGGAACAGAGGAAGGGACCAAAATTAACTGACAGAGTTCAAAGCGAAAATTTAGGAAATCTTAACCATTGCTGCTACTCGGCCATACGTGGTCTGAGCAATGCAGGAAAACATCTAAATGCCTGCTTCATTTAACTTCAGTTAAAACTAACTTCATTAATTTTTTTTATATGAAAAATTCTACAAGGAATCCACAGACAAAAAGTCCTGCAAAGAAGATCATGAAATGGTGTTTACGGTTTTGTTTCCATCCAGAATGATTCACAATAGAAACACCTGATTTCTTTCAATAGAAAAGGATCTCATTAGAAATGATCCTGAGACCGAACATAAAAAAGAGCCACAGCTTTAAAAGGCTGGAGTACCAATCCTGTAAGACATGCTGTGTGCAGATATTAACGGTAGTTATATACACACACACCAGAACCTCTGGTGCAGAAGGAGGAGGGGATACTGTACCCAGGGCACAGCTCTGCCGGGAGCAAGCTTCTCCCCTTGTCTATATGCGGAGTGGTGCTGAGCCTCCTTCCCCTTCCTTTAAACGGTCTGTGCCTGCAGTATTGGGTCAAAGTCTATTACTGTTTCAGCCAGAGAAATAGTCTGACTGAAAGCAGAAGTGTGATCATGGCACTTTCCAGCATTTGTATCATGGCAGTCTTCAAACTGAAACAAGGTGTAATTGTATACTCTTTCTCCTTGCCTGTTCATCGCAAGTTGCCACTAAACTTGGCCTCTCACACAAAGTTTTAACTCTGAATTTAGATGGCTGCCTATTTGAAAGGCCAGCTGGCTGATAAATTGCTTTGAGAGACTCCAGACTGTTAACCCTGTGGAAGACAAGATACGTGTGAAACTCAATACAGGCACGGTATTGCTGCTTTGGCTCTAGAACGTGCTCTGTGGACCATCTACACAGTAGAATAAAATAATGAATATTTAAAGATCAAAGTGTCATCCTCTGAAACACCTGTCAGCCAAAATCCGCTTTGGGATTAACTGCCCAAGTAAGTAACAGTCAAAGGTCAGATCTGTCCCGATGCGATGAGGATCATATCAGCACGCACGCCTGGCCGGACCTACAGCTGAGAAGACAACACTGTGTTTTGGGTGGAACTTCATAACACTATTTCTCTCACTTCTGTGCAAAAGAAACATACATTGAGAAAATCTGTAAGTGGTCATTTTCATCAAGGCGGCGTATCAGTTTGAGGTTGCTCATAAGCGTGCTGTTACCTTATTTCCAAAAAGCCTTTTACTAAGATTTTAAAATATAAGTCACTTAAGTTTAAAAAATGTTGTGTTTAAATCTACTCTCTCTTTACACATAAAATGCCGGTGACTAATGAAATTTTACCACTATGCAAAAAAAAAAAACCCCAACCAAAAACCAACACAAAACCCTACCCACTTAGTTGGGAAAGTAATGCTTTAAAGTACAGTTTTAAATCTTTGCTGACAAGGTTGCACCAGTCTTCTTGCCCAAATATGCTGTCTCAGACCAAAAACCCCTCAAATGTTACCATGTTCCTCTTGCTCAGCTTAAAAAGTAGAAGTGGATGTGAGACAGCAGTACAGATCTTAGTGCCAAAGCGACTGTGTTATACATAGCTTTTTTTTTTTCCTCCTCCTGACTGTCACAGATGGTTCCATCAGTAATAACTGCTAGGTTACTTGGATATTCCACTGTGAAAATGGTCACTGAGAATTTGTTCCAGTTGCACAAACACAGGTAAAATTTTAAAATGCTGTGGAAAATTTAGCATTTGCACAGGGACCACCAGGAAGGTAAATAAATACACACCTATGCAAATAGTCTGCTCTCCCAATGAAGCCTGCCTGATGACACAAATACAAATAAACAGGACTAAAAAGAAACCCAAACAGCCCTATGGTTAGACACTACTAGATACACTTCAGCTGAATTTAAGTATTTGTCAGAGGGGGAATCCTTCTATTTATCTTGTTTTGAAAAAATCTTTTAGGCAGTTCTCTGAAATTTGCAGGTAAATCAAGGTGGGAGACATGGCTCACTCAGCAAGACACTGTAAAGCGCAGTCACCTTTAGCTTAAGTTTTGTAGTCTTCTGAGTGATGCCTGGGGGAGGAAACTGTTAATAGAAAACATAATACTACATCTACCTTCTTGCCTTCTTAAAACAAAAAATTAAGGAAATCAAAAGGCTTTACAAACACCCATCTGTTTGAAGCCCCTAGCAAGTCCTTCAAAAAGCTGATTTGTCTTAACTCGTTCATTTTAAACCATGGTGCGTATCTTGCATACTGGACTGTTTCTGAAGGTCCTTCCAAAAGTCATCTTTATTTGACCCAACTTACAGAGTCTTGCATTCGCTACAAAAAAAAAAATCTAGAAACACGCCCTGTACTTTGGCACTTGTCAGACTGAAAATCACCATAGCATAGAAATTGGCTGGTGTTCCTGATTCAGATTTCTCTGAAGAAACACAAGAAGAAAGATAGAGGAAAGCCCTTCCTTGCTTCAGAGCTACTTCTGCTGGGTGCCCTTGGCCTTGCACGCCCTCCTGTCTCAAATGCATACATACTTCTGGGAGATTTTTCTTTTCTAATTATTTCATTTCTCCTATAAAGAATCCTACATGCTCCTCTCTTTTGGGTTCCTTATCACTGATTTGACTAGCAGTCTCGGTTTCAGAGCTTATAATTGCTGTCATTTATCCCTTCCTGTTAGTTTAACTTTGTCCTAAATTACACTAAATATCTTTATCCCACATGGGTAAGCATGTTTGTGTTGTCAGTGCATGTTGTTGAAGGACCATGATATTCTTCCTGCCCTTTGGAACGGAAAGAGTCTGCTGGGCCCAAGAAAGCATGTCTTACGATGGGCACGCAGCCCTAGTGAGATTACCTTTGTTTCTCTTTGGAAAATAAAGCATTTGCGGAAATCAGCCTATTCTTTAGATTAGATTGCATTGGTGACAGCGTAGAAGGGCTTTACTGACATTGCTGTTAAGAGGAGAAAGCAATGACACACACAGTGCCCCGGAGAACCAAAACTCATCAAGAGCACACAGCCTTGCCCTAAGGATCTGCCCACCCACTCACTAGTGGGGTTCCCCCGTGGGGTAAGCTGGTGGCTGCCACAGTACAAGCCATGTCTATGCCAGCCAGCCATACCACTGCAGCTATGCAATTCATCACAACTCCAGAATAGGACACACTCGCATTAAAATCTCTTCTTTAAGATCTCTGCGTAGTTAATGCAGCGACTAGACCTCCCTATGCAGTAGTGATGATCAGGAGTATGTTACAGCAATGTTTGGGATGGGAAACCCCCTCTTCAGGTAAGAATATCAACGTCAAAAATGTTAATTTGTTCTTTTAACAGCCCAAGATGTTTCAAAGAAAAATGTTAACAAAACTTCATTCCTGTATCCCCTGCAGATCAGACAGCCCTTAGGCATAGCATCTGTCATTTCTGATAATGCTGTTGACAAAGATATGGGTATTTTGCAAAACATTTCTGCCTCTGTAAATAGGGGCTGGTGAATAAACATGTAGCTGGCATGAGGTGGATTAACTTTTTAACAATACCAGAATACCTGAGGAACACAAACACTCATCTGTGGTTAACTCAAGGATGAATGCTGAGTGACTTGGACCATTGTCTTCTCAGCCACTTCTATGTGCAAACTGTGTAACACCCAGTAGAAACACTCATCTATCTTCCTCATAAAAATGAAAGATAGAAAGCACAGCTAGTTCTGACTGCCATTTGTTTTTAGTGTCTGGAGTGATAACTCCGAGGTATGCCCAGCTATCAGATAAATGCAGTAGGCAGAGGTCACACTTATTTTTTGTGTCCTTATTAGATTATGTTCTCAGATAGTTATAGCCTGGATAGAGTTAGAAATGGTGTGCGTGTTTGGCTTGCTTTTGTAAAGAGTCAGGCAATTCAAAGTTCCTTCTCTGAAGCAGGAAGGAGATTCTCAGCATTCAGCTGGGTGACGTCTCTGCTCCCTTCCCAGAAGCTCCCTTCCCTATTGCAGAAGGTGCAATACTGCTTGTGCTCCTCGGTGGGTTACCATCCCCGTGGAAAGCACCTTGGCTGCCTGAGCTGCAGAAGCCAAGCAGAAACACAGCAAACATAATTCATCTCTCATCCACCCCTGAAAGGGAACAGAGATCTGTATTAGAGGGGAGACAGTCCAGATGTGCTTTCAGTAGGACTCCAATATTATTCAGAGCAGTTAATTACCATGGGTTGGGGTTTTTTTGTGGTGGTAGATGTTGGCAGGTTTTGCACTTTTTTTTTTGTATTAAAAAAATCTTCTACCACGAGTTGAATTTTCTTACACTTTGAAACTATATACTAGCCTCAAAGACATATTCCTATTCTTAACTTAAGGGAGTACTGTACTGCTTTATGGAGTGAGCAGCAAAGCACTGACTTATCTCCTCTGGCTGGACACAATGCTCTTCTGTGCCTGTACTCCAAAAATGACTCTACAAAATAGCCTCACTAGTTCTCTATTCTCCACATGCTGGATTTCAGCAACTTCCCAGTCATATCTGTCAGGTGTTTGGTTTTTTGTTGTTTTGGGTTTTTTTAAAACTTTTTTCCAAATATCAAACCCTGGAAGCATTACCCATCATCTGAAAGTCGCAAAGGGCTCTCTGTGCCTCATGTCAGTAAAAGTGAAGTTTTGGCAATGTTTTTAATGGTGCATGAGTTGACAGAGCTCTAGAGAACCTACAAAAGGGCGAGAATGCTAAGACAGAAGTTAGAGGTGGCATACAACCAAAATTGGTATTTATTAGACATGCTTTCAGTGTGTCACACTGAAACACTTAATCACACACCTATGTAAAGCACTTTGTTGCAATACAAGGATACCATCTCATAGGAAAAGTAATTTAAAAATAGAAATATGAGGAAGTAACATCCGTGTATCCAGCCTTAAAGTTCATGTCTTCTAACTGTAGGCTTTCACTAGTTCAGCTTCTGCTTTTCACTTCCATTTTCTCTACCCCTTCTCTCAACTGCCTTTGTTCTGATTTTCACCCATTTCTTTTGCCCACTTTCTAGCCCTTGTAATTTTGCCCTTGTTTACATTAGAAATACAGATGAAGAAAAAAAATTCTTATGACCTGTCCCAGTCATACAAGTTCCTCAATTCCCCAATTTTATCATCATCTGAACTAGGCCTGTGGCCTAATTTCTCTTCTGTTACTAAAACTAAGCATGGAGTGTATTGTTCAGTCTTACATATTTTGTCTGTCATGGTATTGTCAAATCTGGGGCTGGAGGAACATAAGAGCTGTGCTGCAAGGGATGACAAAGAACGCCTGGACTGCAAAAGGAAAAAGGATACAAAAACTTGTTTCTTCTTGCCCTGTTCCTTTCACCTCCGAAAGACAAACAGTGTCACCCAAGCTACGGTGTGCTGGGATGGAAGCTGTGTTACCAGACCAGCCCGTAATTACTCAGATGAGATATTCCACATTCTCATCTCTTGTGCAAATAACGTGAACTGCAATGTGAAATTCCCCAAACCCACATTATACGTGATCAGCTACAGGAGTTTCACACTGCAATGCGAAGGCTGTCCAGTAACAGCACTAACAGCAGTAACAGCAATAAATGCGACTGGAAAAAGGGTTGACTCCAGGAATAGCCAAAGAGACTTTCAAAGAAGAACCTTTTCCTTTAAGCCAAGATGCTTATGTCTCTTTCGACAAACTTCAGTGCTCCCTTTTAAACATTTTTGGTAGATTTAGGGAAGAAGTTAATGAATGAGGTAACACGTTTTTAACAATGTGTTCTGATTTTGATCTTCCTTGTCATTAGGTGCTAGTTCCACCTATAAATAGCTTGACAATGAAGCTGACAGTAATCTGAATTTTCACTTTGAACTCTTGACTGTTTGACCAAACTTTCCAAATAAATATAAGCCATCATCTTCCCTCAGACTGAATGAAATAGTTAAAAAAAAAAAAAAAAAAAAAAAAGCTGAACACGTCACTCTTGCTTTCTTTTGTTGTGACGTAAAAGGTCAGAAGTCCATCTTTACAAATACTGAGGCTCTGGGAAAAAAAATCCAATCTGATAAACAGCTGTAGATATATCTAGATCTTTCAGTGACTGCGATTGCTCCTGATGACAACTGGGATTGTTAAATCTTACTGATTTTTTTTTTTTTGTGACAGATAGGATACCTCTAGAGCAGGGATAAAATAAAGATGGGGTTTGTATATATTGATTTTTTTTTTCCCTCCCTCTCTCCTGCCTTGCTCTCACCAGCTCCAATATATTCTCAGTGTCATTACAGGAGCATTAATCTAGAACAGTCCAGCAAATACCAGGTCCTCCAAACCTAGCGGAGAGTCAGGTAGGTTTTACTGTCTACATTGCTGTCAATTGTCAATTTTGATGACCAGCTGACCTGGTAGACTATGAGGATATCCCGGTACCCAACCTCCTTTCTCTTAAAAGTAAAGAAAAAGTTCTTCCCATTTCACACTTCTTCAAAACTTCTCCAACTTCTTTGATTTTTGCACAGTAAAGCAGAAGCTCTAAAATAACCTGTTTCAAATTTCCCCCCAAAGGTATGTGAATGTCAAAGTTGCTCCTCATTTGAATGACCCTTCTCTCTGCTGGTCTTTACTATGGCAATGACATATATTCTTCACCAGAATTTGGTCTCAGTTGTGCTAGATACTATGTCGGGTGTAAGGGGAACTCAGCACTGATAGCACCAGGGACTAAGTTTAGGACAAAAAAACCTTGTGGTGACTGAGAATTTAACGTTATGGTCTGGAGAGTGACACACCTGCTTCTCACAGCTGAAAAAGTATTTACATTAAGAGATCTCTTAGACTATGCTACTATGCTAAGCTACTATGCTTGGTGTGTGAGGACTTCTTTTTCCTCTTTAGAAAAAAGGGGGGAAAAAAAAGTGGCTTTAGTACTAGACAAAAAAAGGGCTTTGTTTAACAATTTGAAGGGAATCTTTCCTTGGCATTGCTTATTCACCTTTAGTGCATTTAACTCAACACAGCGCCCTGAAGGACATGCTTAGCATTTTGTGGTAGGGTGAAAAGTTTAGGTTTTCCATTGAAGTGGAAATGAAATAAAGAAGCTACAGCTTTAAAAATGTGTATCTCTAGCCTTCTGATTTGTAGTCTTTCCTTCTCACTGATACCACATCAGGTACCACATGAGGCTTCAATCCTACAAGACCATCTAGGAGGACAAACTCCTTGCCAACCAGTGAGGCTGTTTATAAGAACAGGTTACTGCCATAAATCAACTCAAGCCATATAGTCTAAATGAATAAAAGTCTGGTAATCAGGCATCATCTTTCCCACAGCAGCTGCAACTCTTGGTTTTTTCCTTTTTTTTCTGTAGATACTTTTTTAGGATAAGTGTAATCTTACAGATATAAGGGAAAACTATCTAACGGCCACTCTGGGTACCACCACTGCAAAGTGACTTGACTTCACTTCCTATTTGTAAGATGCTTCAGGAACAGGCATTTCATTAACACGTTCTTCTAAATGTGTGAAAATATCACCAGTGTGGAGACAGTGATTCCAAGTCGCTTTGTTGCATTCCAATTTCTTCACTAAGTGAATTAATCACAAAAATAAATGACTAGTTGGTCCTTATCCATAAGTATTGAGGAAGCAAAAAAACCTTGACTTTATCTATTCTTTTTGAATGCAGAGGTGACACCAGAGCCTTTTTGCTTTTTCAGTATCTTCACTGGCCTTTCTTCTGCTTTCTCTCCCCTCCACTTTGCTGCCACCGACCCTTCCCTCCCCGGCCTCGCTGTGCCCACCTGTGCTGCTCCTCCAGCCCATGTTTCTTCTCACCCACGGCAACGCTGCGGGTGAAAAAGTAACCCAAGCCTTCCTCCTGTAAAAAGCAAAACTAACTGGCAGACAAAATGGGCGAGTCACATTGGACAGGGAGCAAGGTCTGTTGCAACCTTCAGCCTTCCCTTTCGCTCCTCGGGTTTTGCTTTTGAGTGAGCGTGACATCCTCATAATGGCTGTGAACTGTCCACTGCTCTCCCACCCGAAGCCCGAGGCGCGCTGGGGAAGCCCGCTGCCTCCCAGGGCCCGGCAAGGAGCGGCCGGCATGGCAGCTGCGATGGCAGCCCGCTGGGCCAGGGCCCAGGCCA